GCCGTCGCCGCCGCCTCCCTCGGCATCGCCCTCGCCCCCGCCGCCGACCTCGCCACCGCCTCCCACGCTGCCGCCTCCCGCCCCTCCTCCATCCCCGCCTCCACCCACGCCGCCGCCCTCACCGCCGCCCTCACCACCACCACCCTCGCCACCACCGCCCTCACCGCCGACCTCGCCACCGCCTCCCACGCCGCCGCCACCCTCACCGCCACAACCCTCCCCTCCTCCACCCACGCCGCCGTCGCCCTCTCCGCCGCCGGTCTCTCCGCCCCCATCCTCGCCGCCACCGCCATGCGATCAGATGTGTCACTTTGCAGGAGCGGCCAAGGCGTTGCCCTGCTCGATTTTTGCCGAGTTGCCGTGTCCGCTTCTCGCAGACCGCGGTTGTTCTCAATGTGCCGGGTGCTGTGGCCTGTCGCAGTGCATGTCGACAAACTCATCGGACTTTTGAGCTTCCCGCGCCGGTGCCAGCCGCCATTGGCTGGCGAACAAACAGCACATTCTCGCGTTCTCTTGCTCGTAGAACATACTGGTCGCGCGCGTGTGCTCGCACGTCTTTAGGCTAAGTCGCTCCTTGTGGAACAGTGAACGTCGGTGCTCGAAAATGAGTATCTCTGGCGACCTGTCTGGCTCGCACCAGTCGTGCGAGGCAACAATGCGGCAGTCGAGAGATTCCGTGTCAGAAGCTGTGAACAACAGTTCCTTCAGCACCCCGAAAATGATCGCCCTTCGGGCACCTTCCCACGCGCCTACGGGCACCCCAACACTCCCACACGCCGAGCCACGCGCTGCCGGCGCCCTGCATGACCCTCTCCACGCACACCGCGTGAAAACTGCACGTACGTCCCCGCGCGCACGCAAACACGCGCAGCGCCATTTCAGAGCTGTGCCATGTGCGTCTGCCCTGTGCTGGCGCCCCATGGCCGTCCCGCGCCGCCCGCACCAGCCACGCGCCCCTCGCACCACCAGAGGCAGCCGCATATCCACTCACGCCGCGACGCGCGCGCCGCAGCACACCTCACCAGCACTACCTCGCCTTTTTGCGCCCTGTGCAGGCTCTGCACACTGCTCCTGGCATCTCACAAGCGGCTGTACCAGGACGCGCCGCGAGTACGACGCAGATTCCGCACCACGCAAGGCACGCACGCACGCACGCACCCGCACGCGCGCGCACGCGCGCTCATCCGCTCAGTCTGCTCCACAGCCTGTCAGCCTGCCTGCACACACAGCATACAGCACCATGTGCACGCACTGCGCTCAACGATGCAGCCCGCACCCCGCAACAACAGCCTGCCCCTCGCCTCATCACGACGTCTCGCGCACACTCCGCCAGCAGCCCAACCAGAGACACTGCAGCGCGCGCCTCTGCACGCCTGCAGTCTCTCTGACCTTCCCAATCCTCCCCGCCGCCGCGCCTCCCCGGGCACACACCGCAGCAGTGAACATGTGAGAACGACCGAGCCCGCGCCTGCCGCACACAGCCCCGTATTCGACTGTTGGTAAGTGCACGCTGTTGCGCCTCTGTGTGTGTGTGCTCGCTTACTGCCAAAAAAGAAAAACATGATGCGGAGACAAGGCCCGACGCCCCCCCCTTGTGCTGTCCAGATACAAAATATATACACCGGAAAGGCCCGACGCCCCCCCCGGGCACAAACCCCACACCGAAACCCCTGCCGCACTTTTTACTTTTGTTTGTCATCTGCCAGAAAAGATACAGGAAAGAAAAAACACCGCGGGGATTCAGAAAATAAAAGAAAAACAGCCTAACCCCAGTAGGGATAACGCCGAGTGCCAGACCACCAGGGGGCAAGTGTGTGTAGCACCTTCGACCCCGAAATGAAGGTCGCCACGCAAAACCGGGCGCTAGGAGAGGTGAACTGAAGGCTGAGACAACGGAGGCCGAGCCTGAGTGGGCGCCCGCGCGCCCCCACACAGGCAAGCCTCTGTCCTTCGGCCCACTCCGGCGATCGTCCGTGGGCGGCCGCGGACAACATGGGGCCTAATCAATTCCCTCAACACCCGACCCCACTCTA